GGTGTAGCCTATTATGCATGACAAACGGGCAATGATGAATTATGTAATATTCTAAAATAATTAAATCGACACACTAACTTTGATTATTGATGAAAAAAAGTTTAAAATATTGTTTAGTTTATTTTTTCCGTCCTGCGACCCACTTACTGAAAGAAGGTTTCCGAACAGACTGGAATATCAGTCAAGCAAAAGGCACGCAACTATAGCAACGCCTCAGATTGACAGATATGTACAAATAAACAGGAATTTTTCGACTTTTGAGCGATTAATTACTGTTTTGTACACATTGTCATGTTAATTATAATTGAAATGCGTTTTGTTTTATTTACCACAATATGATTGCTATTTGTCTGAGAGGGGCACTTTTGAATAATTTTGAAAATGGGCAGGGGCTTGAGCCCCCAAAGCCCCCCCTTCTGCACGTGCCTGGATATCACAATTAACTAAGATTGACAGTTTTTCAGTGATTATAAAGGGAGCTCATATGCGCGCTGTCTAAACCAGGGGCGCGTGGGTCGGGGGAATCGTTAGGTTTCTTAATAGTGTTGTCAAAAATATCGATCTTTAGATACATATCTATAGTGAAATATGTGAAACTGTTCAATAGCGCTTTCCTGCAGTATCGATACAGTGATACCAGCTGCGTTAATCTGTCTCTTCTCTCTGACAGCGACTTCACGCACTCAGCAGTCTGACAGAGCCACGCCCCTCTCAGGCAGAGCCACGCCCCTCACACTCAAGCCACGCCTCCGACGGCCAGCCTGTGCCTGTGTCTCATTGCCACATTAATCAGTTTTATTATTTGCGCTGCGTGTTTCAAAGCGAAGTAAGCATTTTCCTCACGCGAACAGCTCGTTATTCGGTGTTTTCCACGTCTCAGAACGGCTCAGTTCACTGTGAATGAATGCAGTCAACTCCATCTCTGCATGTAATGTGAGTTTTACGTGCATTTGGCAACGGAGCGGTCACCAGTTTTTTTTTTTTTTTTTCATTTTATTATTTTCATATTTGCATAATTTCCAACATTTTAGTTGGCAGATGATTACAGCATTTCACCATAGATTTATAATGAGATGCACTTGTAAACGTGTGTTAACAGTTTCAATTAGCAGACCTACAATATCCTGTGGAAAACACTGTTGATTCTGTAAACTTTACTCGAGCATAGTAGCCTATGACTAGAATTATTTTTGAGTTGTTTATGCCACATTCTTACACTACCAATCTTATATAGCTTTAAAGTAGTTAGATCAGACAAAATTTGCCTCTTTGTATAGGTGCAAGTAGTGAAAGTGCCATACAAAGAAGAAAATCACTCTAACGTGTTGATAACGTGTTGGTATTTGCTAGAATTAATGATGACATCTGAACAAGATGTCCAGGACCTCCAGCAGGAAAATAGGCCCACAACATTAAAGATACAGCAGTATATGTCATTGTACACATGGGTACATTTTTTTTTTTATGTCATTTTATTTCTTTTAGTTTCATTAGACCAAAGAATCCTTTCCCATTAGAAGTTCCAGTAATGTCTGGCAGCTGAATATGCTGGAGGTTGTTTTTGAATGAGAGCAGAGGATTTTTTTTCTTGAAACCCTCCCATGTGGTAATGTAGGGGCTCTTTGATACATTTCTTTAGGCTTTCTGGCCCTGAGGCTCAACCATTTTCTCAACTATTCTCCAGCTGTGATCCTTGGAGAATCTTTGGCCACTCAAACTCTCCTCCTCACCTTGCTCTAAGACAATGTAGACACGCGTCCTCTTTCAGGCAGATTTGTAACATTTTCTGTTGATTGGAAATTCGTAATTATTGTGCTGATGGTGGAAATGGGGATTTTCAATACATTTGCACTTTTCTTACAGTCACTTGTGAAGCTCAATGATCTTTTTATGCACATCAGAACTATATTCTTTGGTTTTACTCCTTGTGATGGATGATTAAGGGAATTTGACCTTTATGACCTTTCATCATATTTATATTCCTGTGACAGAGGAAGCCATGATAATTTCATGTTCATAGTCACCCCTGGTGTGCTAAAATTTGTAAATATAAATGGCAATACTTCAGAGATATTTTGCTCATAGTAATTTTTAGGGGTACCAATAATTGTGGCCAACGTGTATTAGAGAAAGTCATTTCTTAGTAAGTAGACTTTTGGCCTACTTTCATTTGTTTTACTTTGTGAAAGTTTAGATTTTTTTTAAAGAATGAATGAATGAATGAATGAAAAGGATAAAACAAAAAGATCAAAGTCGCCTTTGATCATATTTACCGAGTGTGCCAAAAAGTCTGACCGGCTGTATTTATATTTATATTTTTTTCACCCATTATAGTCCCATCAATACATCTAAATTAAAGCACGAGTTGTTGTGTGAAACCTCGTGAAAATATGAGACATATTTAAGACTTTACGCGTATTCTCAGGCTTGAGGTTAAGACGTTTTTACTGTAATTAAGCCATACGATGCATTATAAGGTGCTTGAAGCATGAAGGAATAGTTCATTCAAAAATGTTTCTTTATTCACCCTCATGTCATTTCAAACATCTTCAAATGTCAGCATTTTTTATTTTGGGTAAAATATTCCTAAAAGAACTGATTCAATCCAAGTAAAACACTTTTCTGCTGAGTTTTCAGTAATTCGTCCTCTGTATCTGCTCTGTAATCTCTAGCACTTCCTTATTAGCCACAGTTATGTTTCATTTCTGAGGTGAATATCTGTAATTCTTTCTATTGCAGAATCGGAACAATGAATGCTGTAAATGTTGTGCAACTGCTCATTGTGGTTTGGACCTTCTCCGCTGTCTGTCAAGGTTATGATGATGGTAAGAGAATAAACTTTCCCTTAGAAAGTGTGTGTGAGAATGGCGAGGGACTAAATGTAAGATAAAGAGAAAAAAAACATTTGGTCAAATGTGCTTAATATGCAAAACATAAATGAAAATGCACAATATTTTGTAGTAAATCTGAATTCTTTCTTTCTTGTTTACAAAAATATAGATATTTTCATTATTCTTCAGTTGCTGTATTATATGATGATATATATTGTTGTTTTTCAGATTTCATTGTAAACTGTGAGAATGTGACTGGATCTGTGGGGAATGAAGTAACTCTCACCTGCAGCATCTCTCTGCTGCTCACTGAATGCTGCGTTACAAAGTATAAGTTTCAATACCCTGAGAGCATTAATGACTGCGCAGTCTGTCATCAAGTTTTTCCTGTGAACCCCTGTGAACAGAGGAACAGCTTAACATGCTGCTACACTCCATCTACAGCAATGACAGAACAATTCAGATTCTTTGTGCAAACAAACTGTGGAATGAAAAGAAGAGGATTCGCTGTGGGCATAACAGGTATGGTATATAATACTGTTGTTTTTAATTCAATGAGTGTTAGCTGTACATTTATTTTTAGTCTACTAACAGTGGTTTAAAATCTGTTAACAGAACCCATGAAACGTGAAATTGACACTGAAGCTCCTGGAAAGAAAGGTATTATATTCTATTATAATTATTGATTATTGAGCTCCCGATTACTTAGGAACAAAGAAAAATGCTCTGTGGTCTCTTGTCACATGATTTTAGAGAAGATCTTAAGAAGGAAACTGATGTTTGAACATTCTGTCAAGAAATCATCAACAGATTTTCTGATAGGCTGAAGTTGAGTTTATGATTTAAACCATGTCATAAAACATTTTAAACTCACCTTTCCAGAAGAACCTGTCAGGGACATATCAGAAACATCTGAACAGGAGAAAGCAGAAGGTCGTGGATATAAGATCGCCGTCATCGCTGCTGTTATAAGCTGTTTTATCATCGTCATAATGCCAGTCATTTACAGATTGACACAAAAACACACCAAACGGAACAGGACGTTTCTGAGTGTTAGACATGAAGACAACAACAGCAATCATCTAGAAAATGTGATATAATAGCATCGACTAAGCAGTACCAAACTAATTAACTAATTTGTTTAACTTTCCATACAGTGCTCATGAAAGACACTCCAGCAAACTTATCTACTATCTGTTAAAATTCAAACTATACTGAACTGTATAACTCTGACTGCAAAACTCTGTTTCTGTTTTATATTGATTTCTGTGAAATAATGATATATTATAGATCTGCTTGATCAGTGTATTTAGTGTTAATTTTCTGCACACGCAATTTCGTAATAGTGTGAACAGTAAGGTTTTGTACAGTGTGTTGTATTGATTTAACAAGTAAGGAACTCAAAGACTTGTGATAGGCTACTCTCTAAAGAATATCTTGAACATGTTTTTTTTCACCACATAATGGATCAGAACAGGAAACTGGGTGAAAAATAGCTGCACAGAGCTCATCTGTTCCTTTAGTTACTGAATGAGATTCCCTGGATCTTGATATTCGTTTTCTGAATCTGTACAGAGAAAAAGAAAGTAAAATGATCCCACACCTGTGAAAAACAAACAGTGTTCATCATGTACTTAGATACTTCCAATCCAGTGTGCAGCAGTCATTTGAGTCCACAACAAACACAATGGATTATTCGCACAAGCAGCGCACATCACGAGCAGCAGCAAGGGTCCATTTCACTCCATTTGGTTTTTGTTTGTTGTTCTTAGGAAAAAAAAAAAAATACTGATATCAATGTTGGAGTCCTTCACATTCAACACACCAAATCACAATTATATGATGCCCAAACTACAACATTCACACATACGGTGGGATTCAGTACACTCTAAAAAATGCTGGGTTAAAAAGGGCAAACCCATGCTATTGGGTTGTTTTGACTCAAAACAACCCAACTGCTGGGTTTGTCCCTTTTTAACCCAGCATTTTTTAGAGTGTAGGGTCACATCTGGAAATCTGTTATTCAAAGTCTAATTTCAAACTGAAAATAAACCAAATTGTGTTATTTTTAATTATTATGAACAAGTCCTATGTTGCTAATGAAACCATTTTGAATAAAATTTGTTTATTTGTGGGAAATGGTAAAAGCCGTTCTCTGCTGAACTATCATGAATGTAATGCAACTGTTGCGATGCATTCATCTAGCAGCAGAGAGCGGGTCCTTTTGAAATCAGCTGACTTTGAACAATATGAATATCATATATAGATCACATTAAATTATATTATTGTGTGTTGTTCTGAGGTGAATATGCATCATTTTGTTGTTGATTGAGTGTCGTTTGATGACTCTTGGTGGAGGATTGCTGCTTGTTTGTTATTCTGAATGAAGATCAAACTGATATAATACTATAAACTGAAAGTGAAGGAAACAATACTCTGTTTTGTTCACTTTTTGTTTCTTTATTCTTTCACTTTGCTCCTTGTCTTTCATATGTGGTTCACTTGTGAAATGTTCTGTACGGACCGTGTTTGCACAGCCTCTCTTTTTCTTCTAGAATGAAACACGCCAAATTTCCCATGTGAATTTAATTATTGTATTTTAATAAAACAGCAGTAGTTAAATTCCCTTCACATTAAGTTTAAATTTGGAAGAAGAAAGATTTAGCCTAATATTACAATCAATTAAAAATCTTTCATTTGACAATTAGGACAATTAGTGATGATTCCCATTGTGTGAATTATATTAAACCACTTTTTTAAATGGTTAGCTATAGGTCATTTTCAGGGTGTTTACTTCATGCACTGCACTGGCGCCACAGATTTGAGCTCAAACTGACTAAGATTATCATACCTGTTAGATCATGCCTCCACGGCAGATAATTAAGATTCAGTCCCGGATGCCAGATCCTGTCCGAAAATTTCAGTTTTGTCTGATAACAGAACAACTAGTCAGCAAAACTGTCTAATAACCAAAACCTGTTAACAGCAAGTTTTGTCTGGTACCCAAAATAGCCAAAACTCTATTAACCATCTTTAATCAGCCAAGAAGTTGACTGAGCGAAGCCAGTGAAGAGCAGAAGCAGGAGACGAAGTGATGATTATAATAAATGATTAAATGGAATAATAAAATGATTCAACTGAATAAATTAATGAAGAATAAATGAATATAAAAGAAAGTAAGTAAAACAACACAAATGTGGTTGCTCTCTTGAAGCAACACACACAGTTTGCATTTGAGGATCCTTCATACTCGTACTATGATTTATCAGCCAACTAAGGACTGACTTGGACTGATTCTTTGTCGCATGACACAGAGAGTTTGAGCCCAGTGGAGATAAACAAAAGGAAAAAGGTAGGTGAGACACAGACAGATGTAATAAAAATTTCTACCAAATGCCAAAGCAATGTAAATGCATGGTTATTACAGTGAGAGCACCCTAGAGCAACATGGGAAACACCTCGCTCGAGGCTCAATGGTGGAGGCTTGTATTGTTTGTAATGTTGCATGTAACGATGGAACATTTTTACACAAACTGCATTCATACGTTGACACATGGTTTAACGGCTCATTGTGCTTGTAAAGGTGATGCAATGCATTAAAAACTTGTTTACCTTTGATGAGGAAAATATTTTGCATTAATAAGCAGGTTCTCTCAGGTCACTGGTGCAAAATCGCTACAATGTTAATATATACTGTATATGACTTACTGTACAGGTCATGAATTGTCTATACCAGTGATGGGCAAACTTGGCCCTTCCAGGCCACTTTCCTGCAGAGATTTGATCCAACCCTGATAAAACTCACCTGCCTGTAGCTTTCTAGTAGTCTTGAAGACAATGATTAGCTGGTTCAGGTGTGTTTGATTAGAGTTGGAGCTAACCTCTGAAGGAAAGTGACCTGGAAGGGCCAAGTTTGCCCACCCCTGGTCTATACAGTTTGTGGAAGCGATTCTACTTTATGAAAACATGTCTTGTTTTCAACATCTTTATCAAAATAGGCTCAGATAATCTTTAGTTCACATAAAAAAAAATCATTTTTGATATTCAACACCATTCTCCAGAAACATTGTTCAGAGGTTTACCAGTGAAGTTAATGTGTAGATCTGGATGTATTTCTTATCTATTTATGTAATTCTGCAGGAAATCGTTAGATATTTTTTATTAAAATATTAGTAGAAGTGATTTAGAAATAGAATGTTATTGGTTAAAGCATTTGTAAATATTAATTATAGATCAATAATATGGACAAATGAAACTTCTGCAAATCTATGTGCAAAAATCTTTCGCATTTATCATGACAACATTAGGCCGTAAAAATATGTATTATCATATTTTTGAATTGTAAGAATTATTGTGTCTTCTAACATTTATGTAATATGATAAGCAAATAAACAATAACACCTTAATTTCATTTTATCTGTTTGATTTTGACTTGTTTTTCAATGGCTGATGCTGATATTTATATCTACAGACAGCGACTGTCAATAATATATACAGTACGCTTACGATACATATTTACTGCAAACTGCACCCGTTTTGTTTTTTGTTTTGACTTCTTTTGGGGAGTTTAAGCAAGTTACAGGGACAGACATTTGCCTCAGACTTTAACAACCCACACTGACTCTGATTATTTTATGCTTAGCCGAGCGTTTATACTTGGACTGCTTCTCTGTCGTGTGACTCAGAGAGTTGGAGCCTAATGGGGTGATTGAATGGAAAAATGTTGGCAAGACACAGTTGTTCTTTTGCTACCAAAATTACAAAGCAAAGCAATGATTCCAAAACTATCCTAAACACATTTTTAGAGGGAAAGTCATGACCCTAAAGCAACATGGAAACACCTCGCTCAAGGCTCAACGGTGGAGGCTTGTATTGTTCGATATGATGGAAATTTTTTGCAAACTGCATTCCTATTTTGACACGTGGTTTAACGACTCTGTGCATTTAGAGGTGATGCAATCCATTAAAAACCTTTTTACCTTTGATGAAGGAGAGATTTTGCAATGGCAGGTTGTCTCGTGGGTGGATAAGTGTTTATCCAATGAATTCAGTTTTCATATACTGCTTTTAACAATGCATGCTGTTCATAAAAATATGCCATTCAAAGAAAAAAATGTATTCAGGTAAATGGAAGATACAAAGCCGTCTTGACCCTTTGGAAGAGGGTCATGCGTAATGACTAAATACAGCCAGTTAAGTCTAGTATATTAATTTAGTAAAAGTTATTAAAAGTTCTTATATTAAGCCACTAAAACATTGTTGATTTTGATCCCTGTACAGAAGGTTAATTGGTATTCAAGGCCGTAACCATTTTTATTTTAAAATATGCACACATCAACTTTTTTTTCATAAGCCTAATATACTGAAGATGCAAAGCGGCAGAATGTTTTTGTGCAGCTAAAATAACTGGACGCGGATGACACCGGAAACTTCGCACATTCAAATGGCCCTGTCCGCTCTTACATTTTACATTTTTTTTCTTTGATTTGATTGGTCTTCTTAATCATTTTTAAACTGACAACTTTTTCTTTTCATGACGGCAAAGAGCGTAGCATCAAGAATATCAAATGTAGCAATCATAATGTCTTCAGGAGACATATATCTCAGCAGCACACTAAATGCTGCATTATAAATTACATGTTTAAACATTGTGGGATACATAATGACTCAACAATCTGTAAACAAAATCCTCCTAATGACTCCTAGAGAAACAGCTTCACATGCAGCTACACTCCACCTACAGCAATGACAGAAAAAATCACATTCTCCATGCAAACAGCATGTGGAATGAAAAGCACAGAATTCACTGAGGACACAACTGTACTCTATGTACTACTGTTGCTTGTAATTCGGTAAATTTTTGGAAATGTGCGTCTATTTTCATTCTTCTAACAGTAGTTTAACAGTAGTTTATCTGTTAACAGAACCCATTAAACCTGAGAAGGAAAAAATGTTTAAAGCTGCTAACCATACAGTTATTGTATATTCCACTGTAATTATTGATTATCTTAGAACGTACTGCTCTTCAGTTTTGTCAGTATAATTAGAATGATGAAATTAATGAATGATTTTATTTTTTTAATGTTTAGGAATCTGAAAGGAAACTGATGATAGATTCCAAATAGCGACACAGATAGTGACACATCTTGAGATATTTATGAATATTGATATTGACATCCCGTGGTAACTAGGATTGACACAAACTTCAGACTGGATCCAGAACACCTGAGAAGAGATGATGCCAACCCCTCAGAGGACCTCAGATGATGCCAACCCTGAAACAACATACAGAACTACCACATTTTGCTATACGTTTGATTGCATCATATAATAATTTCTGTTAATAGTGTTCATCGTCTGTTTGATTACGTCTTTAATCGATTTTTCCGTACATTTCTGCCATATGTACATTAACTGACAGTCACCACTGATAAGCTGCCACTAAATATTGTAGAAACTTAATTTGCTGTAAAGTTGCTTTGCAATGATTTGTATCGTGAAAAGCACTATACAAATAAACTTGAATTGAGTTGAATTTATATTTGATCAGTTCGTGCACTCCATGGGAGTCAAACCCATAACCTGTTGCTAACGCCAGTGGCTACTGTTTGAGATACAAGGAGTAACTGATGACAAAATGTAACTGATGAAAGCAAACAGCTGTCATGTGTCAAGTATTCAGAGTCAAGAAAATCACTCATTAAATATAAATAAGTTGTTCAGTCAAGAGCAGATTTTAGCAGAGTGATTTTTCCTTTGTTCTTTAATTACCATAAACACAAATTGACACAGACAGTAGCAGGTAAATAAAAAGTTGCTGTCACTTTAAGTCCAAACGCACAGAAAACACGTATCAGA